GAGGTAATAAGTGACATAGAACGTTTTGCAGTATCACCGACGATATGTGGAATTTGGATTTAGTAGATATGTATGCACTTTCATGCAAGGTTGACCATACATACATACATATTTTGCGACTAGTATTCGCAACCCAGTAAAATTTTTCCGCTATGCTTGGAGTAGGTACATATGTTTCGGTACATTGCCCTGTTGAAACGCAGATTTTGGATGCTCATTTAAGAATGACACACAATAATTTATTGAATTAGATAGAAACAAATAATAGTAGCATTATGCTACCAACATACATTTGTATATTTAAATAGGAGCCATCATTATGGGGAACACATTTTCACATACGCATACTACGTATACGTACGTTGGGTGACCATCCGTCCTGTGTTATATGGGACAGTCCTCTTTTTTGACCAATTGTCCTGGCAATTAATTTATTTTATACGGGACGCCAAATGCTCTGTATTTCTCTTAGTGTCCTGTATTTGTCCCGTATTCGGGGTTCTCCATAAACAGTTATTATTTTATAATCTGAATACCTGTGCTTCGAATCGAGTAACACATACAATGACCAAAATACAAATTAGGATTCGGCTATTTTTCGTTTGTTAATTTAATGTTTATAATTATTATTTTTTTTTAAGTAAAGCTCTTTTCCTAACAAAAACCATATAAATCCAAATTTCCGACTTTGTGCAAAATGAGAATTAATGCTCCAAATTTTCACCACAATTTCAAACTTTTTAATCAGAACCTTCAAACAATTTTGGTTGCAGTTTTGTAGCTCATTAAAATTGAGTATAATAAAGTGCAAGTGGAACGTGCTGCTCATTTACTTCCCTATAAACAAATTTTCGAACATACAAACTTTGTACATATGAAAAAATGCGTAGCACCGTCGACAAAAAAAAAATGCCAAAAATTAACGGTAAGCCCTAGCTACTTAAAACTTTCACTTTATCGTACTAAAATTTAACGAAACCTTGGTAAAAAAATTTTGTGGAGTAAAAATTTCCAGAAAGATATCCTACAAATTTGTGATGTTACCATAAGGATGCTGTTACATCTAAGATCATTTAAGAAGGTGTTCAGATCAGTTAGCTTGTATGGAAAAAATTTGCAAAATTATTTTTTGTACCGTATTCGGCTCGCATAAATATGGTCACCGTACGTATACGTAACACTTTTGCCTCACAAAATGTAATACAATTCATCGCCAACACAAACATATGTATTTATTTCAGTAAGTTTTATAAAACGATTGCAATTTTCGCTTTCAAATAATAATAATTTATCGATTTTAGATACAATTGTATAAATGTTGACCGCATAAATATTTACGCTTTCATTAGCAATATTTACAAATTGCGACCGGCGACACCTGATGATTTCGCGCCATCACAAACACGCTGCCCTGGTGTTGGGAAAACGGCAATAACAGTAAACAGAACAGAAATGAAAGTGATAAATGAACACAATGAAAGCGTTTGTACATACATACATACATATCTACATCTATACACTATATGCTGCAAGGCATCGACAGCAGCACTTAAAATTGCACAAATACCTTTAATTAGTTATTTAATTGGCACAGAGGCTCTAAACGGCAACGCTTTTCAAAGTGGGCCCTTGTTAATAAGTTTAATGAATTTTCAATTACTCAAATATTTTTCCACTGCACTTGAAAAGAGGAACTTAGTTGAATATGCGACTGTAGAATGCACTTTCTAGACGTTAACTACTCGTTGGTTTTTAACAGCTGACGGCTGTTCGCACGAACATTCACTAAAACGTTCAGAACACGAATGCGCAGACGAACATCAAACAACATTTGCATGAATTGAAAATTTTTATTTTTTATGTTTAATAAATATGTATGTAATGAACGCCGTCCTTCAATGAACTTTGCATTTGTAGATAGCTACGTACATACATGCATACGTGAGTTTCAAACACACTATAAAGAGCAGAATAGTAAGGCAGAGATAAATGAAAGCTTATCGCAGCGCAACAAGCCCTACTCTCCGCTACGGATGTATTAGAATGTTCGATTATTCGACTTTTTAAAAACCGGTTTTCAAATTATTCGAAAAATGTCAATTTTGGAAAAACCGGTTGACAATTTGGATTTTGTTTTTGTTTTCTGCTATTTTCCATATTAAATTCAAATAAAAAAATTATTTTTAACTTAAATTCCTTTCGTGAAACGGGCTTTAAATAGAATTTTCAATCAGATACCCATTTCATTGAAAGCAGTTATGCTACACTGTTCTCAATAACTGAGAATGTAATACTAAAGAAAATAAGGGATAAGCCTTTAAACTGCAAATGGCATAATAGGCAAGAAGTTAATAAATAGTTCCATTATCAGTAAAACGAATTGGCATATAAATTAACTAGGTAAAATAAACCGGTTTATTCGATAGATCAAGTTTAAAAAAATACCTGAAAATATTTAATAATACCGGTTTACACCATTTTGAAAAAACCTGGTCAATCCTATCTATGTATGTATGTACATACATAGGTAGGTATGTTCTGAGTAATCAGTAATTATCTCATTAACTAGAACGATATGCTGATAAGATTTTGCCTGCAATTCAATCGAGGAGAGTGATATTTTTGTATAGATACCTTTTTTGGCTTTATTAAGAGTTAACTCATTTGGAATGACGCGAGTAAGAGGCAGCCCGCACACACACAAATCCATATGAACATTAGGGTGGTAAAAAAAAAAGTTAAATCGGAATTTTAATGCTCTCACACTGTTCTATACCAAAAAAATATACTCGTTTTTTTTTTTTAAATCAAAAAATATTTAGAGGTCGCTCAAAGTACTCAAGGTTTTCTATGTATTTTATATCTGGAAAAAACCACTTTTCGTAAAAATTGTTTTTTTTTCCCCTATATCAGGTACATGGAAAAACTTTGAGCGACCTCTAAATATTTTTTATTTCGGAATAAAAAAACAAGGGTATATTTTTTCGATATAGCAGCATGCCAGTTGGTGAGAGCAATTCGGACTTTTTTCACACGCATTTTCGGACCACCCCAATGTACATACATATTAACTTATGAGAACGTATGTAAGTTTATATTCTTATATGTTTTTGAGTATTTATTCATTAGTAAGAACGTTTAATGAGTAAAATATTTATTTTTAATCTATTTTTAATACGCTTTTTTCTGAAAGTCAAATTCTCTAAGTAATAAGTAGTACTATTATCTGCAACGAATTACTCATCCACCGCTAATAAATTCGGCAACCTTTACGAGTGTTAATTTTATGTACATTGTTCATGCATAACGATTGTATTTTTTTTTTTCAGCCAAAAGACTGTATATTGTTGCGGAAAAATTCCGTTTCGCATTATCTCCATTAAAAAAAAAGCATTCTTACAGTACAGTATTTTTTTAAACAGTTTTTCAATTAAATGAAGAAATTCCTGGTATTATGTGTACCTGTTTTACAGCCCACGATAATATGATACGATCTAACAAAATGCATGTATGTACATAAATGCAAATTTCTAACATTGTACGAAAATTAGAAAAATTCAACAAAGTTGCACAACGACAATTTTCAACATAGTTTGAAGAAAGACCATCTTGGGTAAAGGGCAACCTACACCATTTGGTTGAGATATCTCAATTTTCGTTCGAGTTATCGTGTACACGGACGAACGGACGGACGGAACAGACATGGCTTAATTGACTTCTCCTTTCATTGTGATCATTTATTTATGTATATACTTCCAAAATACAAATCTACATTAAGGAATGTCAAATTTTAGCTGTCACAAATTACATAACCTTGTATGGTTGAATCATGCCTCCTAAGTATAATAGTTATTTACAATTGTTACTCTTGTAAATAAATAAATAAATAAATAAGTAAATAAAAAACGTATCCAGCTAATCTGAAATTAACCCATTAGGATGAATGTGGGAGTCTAGGAATGTTTTTTTGCGACGATGTTGAGGTTTACGGCATTGCTTTGATGGATGTGCTAGATTTTTCTCTCGTTGTTTGGTTGGGAGGTTTGCATGAGGCTATTTGGATTGTACTCGCTCATTGCTCATTTGAGAATTAAAAGATATTACTCGCCCTCCTAGGACATAATGTGTACGCACAGAGCAATCGAACGGAGATCCTAAACACTACTGGGATAGCTAATTTACGTATATACATACATATGAATCTAATTTTGGTATGTATGTCATTTAATCTTTTGTTTAAAATATTTGAGCACTTATTCAACCTTCACGATGATCATGTGATATCTACGCAAACCAGGGCGTCTACGGCTGCTAGAAATGGGTTAATCAAGTGGAGTGTCACGTAGATTATGCGCCCTTCCGTATTTGCCGACCGTATCAGCAAATGAAATTGCTGTTGATAGAGAGAGAGAGAGAGAGAGAGAGAAGCAACGACAACGTCACCGCCATGCGGTGTCAAGTTTTCCTTAACACAAGAATCCCATAAGATAGGTCGTGTCAGCTGACACGTCGGTGCCTGGTTGAGCTATGTCACACTTTTCTTCGTTGGATTTCATGTCTTTTAACATGTATATTAGGGTGGTCTTTAAATGTGGCAAGCAAATTTTTATATCACATATAAATGTTGGTCCCGATTGGAGACGGTTAAGGCGTGTCGCAAAGGGGTGAAAGGTCAGATGCCTTTTGACTGTCATTAACCTGGGAGTGGGCAGAAATGATTCTTGTGCGTACGGTTCAAATCGCAGCTCACAATGTCGGGATATTTATATCCATGTATCCTCTAGGTAGCGACCAAGCACCCGTTTGGGAGCGAGCTAAAATGAGAAGGCGTAGAACTCCGCGTGCGTTGGGTTTGGGTTCCGCCGCGTTAAAACCCCGTCAAATGAAAAATGAAAAATAAAAAACAGCCTCGGATGAGATCCCCTCTTTTTGATGACGACCACGGCAAACGTATAAAGGACAAGGGTATGCACCTGGAATATCCGGACCCTTAATGGAGAAGGTGGTGGAAGACTAAGACTGACATCACCGCCATCCAAGAAATACGATGGATGGGGCAAGGCATGGTAAGCGTGAAGCCTTCAGATGTCTACTACAGTTGCCACGTAAAGGAGCGCAAATTCGTGGTGGGAGGGAGATTCCGTCGGCGAGTACTGACCTGGTTCACACCGGTGAAAGAACGTCTAGCTATAATCCGCATCAAAGCTAGATTCTTTAACATCTCGCTCATCTGTGCACATGCCCCGACGGAAGAGAAGGAAGAGGCGCTCAAGGATCTCTTCTATGAGCGCTTGGAGCGTACATATAAGCGCTGCCCCCGACATGATATAAAAATCGTGCTTGGCGATTTCAATTTCAAGGGAGGCAAAGGCAAGGGAGGGATCTTTGGCGCTGCTTTGGCAAACGGCTATAAAAAATAGTTATTAAAAAGTGGTTAAATAAACAATTGGGTATTATTATTTCCAGTATTGGGTATTATTTGTTTTTTTTCATATAAAATACATGGAAAACTTTGAGCGACCTCTAAATATCTTTTGAATTCAAAATAATAAAACAGGGACATATTTTTTCGGTATAAAACAATCCTAGGTGGTGAGGCCATCCAAATTCCGACTTTATTTGGGCCACCCTAATGTGCATACATACATATGTCTACAAATCACACTTTTAATTTATGACCTTTTCGTTTCTAGAAGAAAAGTAGCCATTAAATATCATAAATTTTTAGGCCAATAAATTTTAGTACCAATTAACAGCCTAATTAACGTGTGCGGAATGAAACGTGAACAATTTCTAAGCAGACCTTAAAAAATTCTGGTAAACACAGGAGTTTGGCTAAGTATACCAAAATCTACTGTGAAATCTTAACAAGCATTCCACAAAAAATAATCTCGTTGTATATTATAATGCTGAAATAATTTCCTTGAAAGCGAACAAACTCTGTAAATTTTGAATACCGAAACTCCATGGTACATGGTACTCAATGTCATGAAAAGTAACCTGCTTTCTCATTTTTTCTCTATGAGACTTAAAAAAAAACTTTATTGACCACATTACCCAAGATTTTTTAAACGTTGAAAAGGGAAAATTAAAAGCGGCTATGAGCGCTTTCCCAAAATTTGCTTGCACCACATTCATTTCAGGTTTGTACAACGGATTAGGGAAATATTTTTCAATGGGGACCATCAAAGGACTCCTAAATATAACTCTGAACTATTCATCGTCTAAATGGCTAATAAAAAAATAATAAAATATAATAACTCAAATTGGCACAATAAAGTTCCAAAATAATATTAAAAAAAAAAAAAAAAATTTTTTGCTCCGTTGTTTTGTTTATGATAAGAAAAAGCCAAATCACGCCAGCTCTTATCTCATTTTTATATTACATTTCAACGTAAGGCGTTCAGGCGTTTTGGCACACTCACACTCAAGGGTACTTCCGGCACTAGGAACTGATCTCGGGATTTTATAAGTGTAAATAAGATTACGAAACAAATGCATAACCAATTATTGCATTTACTGGCGAGCACTGAAGGAAACGCTTGTTTGATGGCTGCGGTTTTGATTTGAAATTTGGACAAAAACTGGCAAGTACAAGCAAAACGATTCTTAGTTAAAACAAAAACACTATTAAGTAGGCGCAAGAAGGTGTTGTTTTGAAGTAAAATAAGGACCATATTCGAAAGAAGTTCACAGCAATAGCATTAATGGCGCCTTAATTAAGGACTCTACGGACTACATATGCACATATATACATAGATATTTTTTTCATAAACTGTACAAGGGTATATTTTTGATTTGTAAATAAATTTACAAATATAAAATCTTGAAATCGCATTGGCTTCGGTGCAAATCATCTTCGCACTTCCTTGCTATTCAACACTTTCCTCATCTACACACACGGGCGGCTCCATCGGGCAAGCATCTATGGGATTAAATTGATTTAAGTTGACAACGCGTGTACAATTGATATCTTGAACAGGACGTGAATTACGTAGAATACGTGTTTTGCCATCCTTCGATAGCAACTGACGAAATTCGTTCAACTGCCGTTCACTAATTGCCAATGGCTCGGGAAAGAGAAACCATTCGGCACCCTGATAGCATGGCGGTTCGGTCAGTGAGCCGCCATAGCTGTAGAAGCCAGTACGAAATTGATAGCACAGATAGGAGAGTGGAAAAGGTGGAATTTCGATTTTAGAGCCAGGTTTCTGTATGCGATGTAAATTTTGTACGAGTGGGTCCAAATAGGGATTGTTCGATGAAACCTCAAAGAAGTAGCCAACCATGAGAATATCATAGCTGGAGGTATAATCGCCAGAGGGGCCAGTGCGGTGCATTGCCTGCAATAGAATTGAAATTGCACTTCGAATATTACGGCAAAGTATCATTTCAAAGTGTAACCTGTAATTCCAGCGGAAATTTGCGGTAATTCAGCATGTGTTCGGATCCATCGTTGCCTAATGAACTCCAGCGAAAGCAAAGTTCAACGAATGTATAACAAGCCAGCAGATCAGCACCACTAACGGTGGGTGTATTGCCTGAATAAGAGGCGCGTAGCACAACTGTAAAGCGGTTGAAATTAAGTGGTTGAATTTTAAAAAGAAAAGCTGAATGTTCTCAGAAAACCTGTGTGACCATTATTCTCCAGCATAATGCCGTTGGGTAAATCATCGTAGTGATTCCAGCAAAGTAATTCACGTATGGGAAATTTTTGCACATTATCATCGATAATATTTATGGGCGATTGATTTGTGTCCGAGCAGCGCCAATTATGTGGACCTTTGAATTTTTTAGAGTTTGCCTGCAAATTAGTACCTCGAAATTATATATTTATTCAATGTATCCTACCATTATCTGGCCCATAATCAAATTGCGTTGATGCGCTTCTCTCGCCTTGCCCACTGCCATTGCAGCTTCCGCCGCCATCTGCTGGGACGCCACGTAACGGACTACGGAAATCACAAATCAATTTTGCCGTAAAAATATTTGTTACGAAAACCAACGCAATTAGAAAGCTAAGCGCCATTACTACCAGCGGGTACTCTAAAGCACAACCGATCACATGGTAAATACAGTTGAATAAAAAACTCAATAGCGAGCACAACGAACATTCCACCATTGTGCCCAATGAATGGGACTTCAACTACGGTTAACAAGGATTTCAAAAAAATATCCTTCACTTGATTAGTATTTATTTTTATTATCACGGTTTTTATTGATTGTTCGTTAAAAAAAAATTTCAGTGACTTGACAATAAAAAAAGTTGGAATTTATTGAAACAAATTTCTTTGTAAAATCTTTGTGGAATAATTAAAAGCAACACACAGTAACTGGGCCGGACAAGTGAAATGACTTGAGCGCTGAACTATGTAAACAATTTTATGAAAAACATAAACATTTTTTTCCTACACCTTTGAATTCAAGGACTCGTTCCATAGACGTGGCAGCGCGCCCAAGAACCAATAACTTAATGCTAACTATGTGTGACGTAGCCCAACATGGTTCAATAGCTTCAACGGTTGCTTTATTTGAAGGCAGCGTAACAAAATATGAAGAAATTTAAGCTAGAAAAAATGATCACACTCGAAACACTCGACAAAAGATTTAAAAAATATGAGGCAGAGAGATTGAAGATGGTGAAACGTATTCCCCCTCAGGAGAGAAAAAACGTTACTCAGATGCTGGTCACACGCGGCAACTGGATATTGTTGTGGCAACTCGACGCTTAAAAGAGATAGAAGGATGACGCGGCAAGTAGAGGGATACCGAGTTGCCCGCTCAGGCAAAATGCTTTGCGGAATCGTTCGTCTTAGTAAATTAAATTGGCTAACAACGACTGCGGCAAAAAGTTGCACCAATTGGACTACTACCATATTCTGCAGATTTAGCCGTTAGCGACTATTTCCTGTTTCTGAACCAGAAGAAATGGCTGGACGGTAAGAGATTTGCGTCGAATGAAGAGGTTTACTGAAACAAACGCTTGTTTTGAGGCATTGAAAACCCGATAATTTGGAAGGAATTGTCTAAAAAATTGGAAAATCGTTGGACTAAATGTATCAAGCTAAAAGGAGACTATGTTGAAAAATAAAATGCTTGTTTTGAGGAAAAACATATTTTATTAAAAAAGTTGTTGACCTTTCAAATTGCCCTCGTACATACATAGCTTATAGCCACGGGGTAACGTCTCGTGTACGTATAAACGAAGTTGAAGGTGAAAATAGGGCGTTTCTGAATCGGCAGCTGAGATAGCGTTCTTGAAAAGTTCTCTGAGATAGCGCGTTTTCGAACTGGCTTCCGAGATAGATCGTTCTTCCACTCAGGTGTCGATATGTAATAAGGTTGTTTTTTTTTAAAGGTCCTCGAGATATTTTTCCGGGAAGTAATATGATTTTTGCAGTTCTCAATCAAAGAGCCAGAGGAGAATAATCGTAGTCACAGTAAGTGACTAATTTTTATAGAAACAGAAATATACATCAGACAAAGGAATATACAGCACATACCTACATACATACACATAAGTGCGCAATAGTACTTAAATCTATAAAATTTATCGTTTTTGATGTGCAGCCATTCCACTGGCGTGCTAATAATTATTCACGTGATGCCAAGAAATACTAAAATAATTAGGTGCTATATTTATACATGGCTTTCCAGCCATGTCAGTCAAATGTGTGGTGTCAGAGCAACAAAGAAAAAAACAGAGACAAGTTAAAATGTAATTAATCAATTTGTGCTAAAATTAAAAATTGTTTAAGTTTTTAACAAAAATACTTATAATTCGATTAGAATACAACACTTATGACCACGTCGCCTTTGACGCAGATTATCGAAAAATCGCAGTTGCTGACAAACAAACCAGAAGGTTCGCATGACAGCGCAATTGAAATTGCTTGTGACATCGCCACTGATATCGCGAGCTGATTGACAAAATATTTCGCGAAAACATACATACATACATACATATGTACTATATAAAAAGGCCGCCTTCTGCCCGCCCATCGCTATACAAATGTACGTATACACATACGGTGGTGAGAATGTAAATAGGGCAGAGACATTTTAGCAAGTTTGGGTTATTTTCGTATTTTTAAAAAATGTTTATTATTTTTTATGGAAATATAGCTTACTATCTAAAAATAACCACATAAATCCAAATTTAAAACTTTGTACAAAATTTACTAATATTCGACGAATTTTAAAAATTGTTAATCAAAATTTTAAACTTTTTAATCAGATTTTTTGGAATTTTTTTAAGTATGCAGTTTTTTAGCCCATTAAATTTTTTAAAGTTTTACAACTGCAAATTTGAAGCAGCACTTTCACGCATTTTCTTCCATACAAATTGTGTTCGAAAATTTTTTTGTATGGAGAAAATGAGCAACACAATTGTCAAAAATCAACGGTAAGTTCTAGCTACTTAAAAATTGCACTTTATTATACTAAAATTCAATGGGCTACAAAACTGCATACCCAGAATGTTTCTAAAAATCTCAAAGCTCAAAAGCTCAAAATTTTGATGAAACTTTGTCGAATGTTCCAAATTTTTGTACAAGGTTTGACTTACGTAGGTTTGTTAGATACCGAACTACACCTTCATAAAAAATTAATAAACATTAAATAAACGAAAGGAAAATAGCCAAAAAATGCTAAAATGTCTCTGCCCTATTTATATTTTCGCCACTGTATGTACGTGCAGAAATGGTATTGTGGATGTTTAAACTTTTTTTGTACATATACATATGTAGCTGCGATCAAAATAAAAATGTGAGCGGAACTATTACAAATATAATATAATATGTCAAACAAAAAGCCAATTTTTTTTCGTTCCGCTGTCAAATACTGTTACTTAAAGAGAGGGCTTGAATTGCTGACTGAAAAATAGCAAAAGTAAAACTTCTCAGGCAAGCAGCTCTTTTGCATTTCGGGCCGATTTCTCAAGCGACTTAAAATTTAAACACAAATTTTGTTCACAAAGGGCAGATAATTTTTAAAAGCTCCTTGGGAATGTTTGATAATAATAATAATAAAAGATTGGCGCTTACACAAACATATTATGTTAGTGTTTGGCCGAGTTTCTCTTCCGATTTGTGGCTTGCGCCTTGTTGTTGTCACACAAAGAGGACCAGACCTACAGTTTTACGAAATACACTCGGAGGATTGCCATTGCATGCCGAATGCCACTGCTATTAGAAAAAAAATGTTTTATTTAATTTTTATTTTTATGATGTAAGGTTGAACCGGGCTTGTACCCAGTCCTTGCGGTATGGTAGCGCGCACTGCTAACCACTACACCACAGCGGCCGCCGAGTCTGTTTGATAACCTGATTATTATTGATAATTATTAGAAATTATCATGATTTGGAGTTCGCGTACGCAGTTGAAAATTCCTGCTGCAAAAATTCTTTCTAGCAGCAATTTGCCAGCAAAAAAAAAACGGCTGATCAAAATCGTCTGTCTTCAGCTTATTAAAATAATGATTTTTTTTTAATAATATCGAAGTTAAAAGAGACTTATTAAGGCGAATTCATCGTTCTAGTTCTGAACTTTTTCTTCTATGTGGTTGTTGTCATGCCTCTCTCTCTATGAGAAAGTTAAAGTAAACGAAAATTGTAGGGGCTTAGAATATACCCGCCGTAAGACATGCTTGTCGTAAAAGGCGACTAAAATCCACTGGTGCGTGCGGACCCGAATGGCATTTATGCTTCACGGAAATTAGGTGGATACCGCCAAGAATGCCCTCTGATTAACAAATATTACTTTTATTCGCGCATGATCATTTAGAGTAGTGGCGACATATTCTCTGAACTGAAAAAGTAAAAAGTTGTGAGATTTTAGAGCAATTTACCGAATTTATGAATGCCGTTTTGACCCAACATCCCGAAATTCTGTTCATGCCAAAATTATTGTTTAGACCTGTTGTACCACCTCTACTACTCCTTGACATATGAAGTACATGCGAACAATTTTTTTTGTAGCACCGAGTTATTAATGTAGTTAGTAGTACACTTACCTGTACATAATTGCATACATTTGTACGTGCAAGTGCAAAAATGTTTGGTATTTGACATTTCTAGACGTGCGATAATGCTTTATTCGTACATATACGCGCAAATACATAAATATTAGCGTTTGAAGATGATTATATTTTTAGTATGTATGTATATACGTATATTCAGTCACTAAACAGCGATGACATAACGCGCATTTTCTTAAAAGTTTATTATGTATGTATGTACAGATGCGTGCAACTAATTAGCAACGAAATTCAAAACGATATTGCTTGCAAATTATGTTTATTTATTTATTTTTAATAATTTTCATTTAAAATATATTTCAATCTATTTCAAAAACCACAATAACAAAAGTTGCAAAGCTTGCACAAAATGTAAAAAAAATTAATCAAACTTCAAAAAATTGTCATCAAAATTTCAAAATTTTTGCGCATTTTCTTCCATATAACACATGATCAAAATATTTTTTTACATGGAAAAAAATCCGCAACACCCTCGATAAAAAAAATTCTAAAAAATCAACGGTAATTTTTAGCGACTTGAAACTTGCACTTTATTATACTAAAATTGAATGGGCTACAAAACTACATACCCGAAAATTTTCTAAATATTCTAATTAAAAATTTTGAAATTTTGATGACAATTTTTTGAAGTTTGATTATTTTTTTTGCAATTTGTGCAAGCTTTGCAACTTTTGTTATTGTGGTTTCTGATATAGATTGAATTATATTTTAAATGAAAATTATTAAAAATAAATAAATAAACATAATTTGCAAGCAATATCGTTTTGAATTTCGTTGCTAATTAGTTGCACGCATCTGTATGTATGTACATATATGTACATATGCTGGAAGTGTTCAGAGAGTGTGCAGACGTCTCTACAAAAGTTGAAGCAGTTTTTGTTGTAATTAAGCACAGTAAAGACTAGTGAGGATCATATGATTAACATAAGCTCAGAACTAGTTTTTTTGTGTTTTCTGAAAAAACAGAAAGGTTTGTGTTAGTACAGTTTTGAAAAATGACTACGATATGTATGTATGTATGTTTTTTTTAGCAAAAAATAAAGCTACAGGGATGTTTAGGCACAAGGTACTACCCTGTGTGTGAA